GAAAAAAGTTGAAAAAGAAAGGAAAAGTTGAAAAAGAAATGAAATAAGAAACTAAGCCGCGGAAAAAAAGCAGAGACGTGGGTCAGCATCATCTTCGCAAAAAAAATCAACGGCGACACGCACTGGGCGGGCCCGTGCGATCATGCGTTTTTGCAGTGTTTCGTGCTGTAATAAGATCACTCGAAATTACGCTAGCTAGAAACCTCTGACATACTGATCCTCGAACTTCGGGAAGTTAATTGCCCACACTATACGTGGACAGGGAAAATACCCTTGACATCCCGGGCTCCCAGTTCCCCTGGTTCCGGAGTTAGTCATTTCCCCGCCAAAAATTTTCACGGGGCCGTACGTGGCAACCACGCATAACGGCAGGCTAAATTTGATAAATTGAAGTTGCAGGTGAACTGGGAACATTTGCTGAAGTTTCAGCCCCCCAGCTTTCTTGATCCCCAAGCAAGCGATTTTCGCGCCAGGAACCCTCACGGGGCCGCATGCGGAAAACACGCATACCTGGGGGCTGAATTTAAAATCTTTAAGTTCTAGATGGACGAGGAACATAATCCCAAAATTTCAGCTTTATAGCTTTTCTGGTCCCCAAGTTAGCGATTTTCCCGCCAAAACTTTGAGGCACTCGTACGGGGGGCTTAGACGTGCGTGAGGGTTGGTACCGCGGTCCTGGGGTGGCACTCAGCCGGGGAATCTCCTCGCAAAATTTTGGCGCCGGAGTTTGCTTGGGTACTGAGTTGAAATACCCGGACAAACGCACACACCCACATACGCACACACACACATACATACACACACATACACACACATAAAAACACACATACGATATTATAGGAAGCGAAAAGTATCAAAATAAGAAACACACCTTCTGGCAGGGTTTTCTCGACTGAATGCATCAATATCAATTTGACTTACTTCGTCCTCAGACACTCTCTTCTGCCTCTCATTTGCTGCTGCGCCCAAAACTTCATTTGCAACCCTGAAACTGAGAAAACAGATGTCACGTAAACAAATGTTCTGCTACTATGAGATGTCAGATTACCGAGGGATTAAGTCATTCGAAAATTACTACAGCGCTACACTCACAGGAGTTTTAGTGGCCAGCTACAGAGCGGTGCGTGAAAATAAAAGTATCACGCTGGCTTAAAAACTAACACCAAGTAGTGGCTCACACCGGCACAATCATGATTTTTTGCACATTTTTTTTTTCAGTAAAAACTTGCTACTTTGATATGCATCCAGTTTAGGAACGTCCTGACCGCTCTTTGGAAACTTAGTCTTTGATTCGTTTTAAAGCAGTTCTGGGATTAAGAAAGAAGAGCTTGAAATTTGACACCCTTATGTCTTTTACATCATAGTTAGCATGGAGGTTTAAAACTGTCTTTCTCCATCTTTTGCTTCAAAATTTCAGCCACGCTCAGTATGTACCAGTATGTA